CTGAGCCACCCGGGCTGCCCTGATGACGCACAATTCAAAGCAACAAGAGGATTTAGGGAAGAGGGTGGAACAATGATTTCAAAGTGGCAATAAGGAACAAGGACAATACCATCACTGCTTGGACTACTAATGAATTGTCTCTCCTTTCCAACTACTCAGCTGAGATAACACACTGAAAGACAGGGAGCCTAGCATTTGACACATAGGAAATGTAATAACGTTCAAACCAAATCAACTACAGTCCTCTAGTACAGCTGTCTTGCAGCATATGGAATTTAGTGAACTTATTTTCAGGCCCCTCCAAGAAAATCCGCCTCTCCTGACTTCCTGTTCCATGATGGATTCTACCTCACAAATTCAGGGTCCAATAGGCCAGCTCCCTTGAATCTGCCTCAACCAATCTTGCCCCTTCATGCTATCACCTTGCCTGCCTCTCCTCTGGCCTGTGAACTTCTGCCTCTGGCCATAAGAGTATAACGGGGACCAGATGTATTCTTTCACCTCAAACAACTGAATAAAAGATACAAGATATTGGACAAAAGGCAGTACAGGAGAGTGATTTTTGAAAAAGAGAAATAAAGCAGGTAAAACTGGTAAGTACCCCCACCTTACTGCCTGGGGAGTTACCAGACCACAGCACAGAGCAGAGTGATCTTGCTAAGTTGAGGAGATGGAGTTTGCAGTTCAAGGAAGCCAAGGCATCTAGAATTGTGGGGACAGAGTATGGGGAAAAGAACTGGAAAGAGATTCTCTAAATCTCTGAGAAATGAGCTGTACATGCATCAGAGACAATCACAGAGGTTAGGAAAAGAATAAACAGAGAAAAGTAGGTGGAACTATTTCCATGCTTACCCAGGGCTAGGAACAACCGGTGTTCCCACCAGCCAGAGAGCAGTGAGACCTCAACACCACAGCAACAAGTAGAGTCTTCTTCAGAAGTATCTCACCATAGTAGTGGGGCTGAATTAGCCCTAAAGGCTACTCTAGACCTGCCCATGTGGAATTTACATGCAAGCCTCTGATTCTGTTCCCCAAAACCTAAATATATATATATATATATTTTTGCTTTCATGTTACACAAAACCTAAATATATTTAAAGGAAAATAACAAAAACCTAGCACCCATCAACATATAATTCATCATGTCTAGCATCCAACCAAAAATTACTCAGCATACAGAAAAACAAGAAAATAGAATCCATAAGCAGAGAAAAGAAATCTATAAATAGAAACAGACCCAGAATGACAAAAATGATAGAATTCTCAGATAAGGACTTTAGGGGCATCAGAGTGGCTCAGTTGGTTAAGTATCTCATGGTTTTGGCTTAGGTCATAACCTCAGAGTAATGAGACTGAGACTTGTGCTTGGGCTCTGTGCTCAGCATGGAGTCTGCTTGAGATTCTATTCCTCTCCCTCTGCTTCTCTCCCCACTCATGCGCTCTTTCTCTCTAAAATACAAATCTTTTTTAAAAAAAGAATTACCATATAAGGACTTTAAAACAACTATTATAAATATATTCCACATGTTTGAAGATATGAGAAATGATGAAAAAATAGAAGACAAAAAACAAACAACCAACCAACCAAACCTAAATAGAACTTCTACAGTTGAAAAATACTGGTAATAAAAAATGTACAGAATATCCCAACCAATTAGATATTACAGAGGAAATGGCAATAGAAACTGTCCAAGATAAAACAGAGAGGAAGACAATGAAAAACGTAGAAGCATCAGTGAGTTGAGACATCAACTGGCCTAATATATATGTAATTGGATTGGTATAATCAGAAGAAAAATATCTGAAGAAATAATGGCTTGAATTTTTCCAAGTTATGTGGAACCACATAAACCTATAGATTCAAGAAGCTTAATGAACCCCAAACAGAAGAATTATTTAAAAAAACAACTTTCCCAAGCTCCTCAGGATCAAATTAATTCCAACCTACATTGCCTCTTTAAGGTCTCTCCTCTCCGAAACTACAGGATTACTATTCTTCAAGTCAATGCTCATCTCTGCTGTCCAAATAGCTTCCCATTGCCCATCAAACAATGTCCAAATCACTTAGAATTCAGGGTTGTGTATAACCTGCCCCAACCATTACTGCAGCATTTGCCCCCATTTCTGTTCACACTTCTTTCACTCCAGGCTATGATCCCCCTGGTTTCCAGCCTCCAGGCCTTTGCTTACACTGGAGAGCAATCCAATACCATATTATTATATCCCCCCTCCTTTCATGTGTCAACTAAGGAAATGCCACCTTCTCTAGAAAACCTTTCTTGTTTTATCAACCATGTTTCATCTTATCCACTTCCTTCTCACAGGTCCCAGCATGTTCTATCACATCACTACCCTTATGCAAATTTTATCTTTCCCACCAGATTTTAAGTACCTTGAGGGGAGAGGCCATGTCTTGTTGTTCACGTAGCCTCTTGACATGTAATTGGTGCTCTGAAAGGTTTGTGAATGAATGGATGGTAGCACAAGTTCCTTACTCAGGCTGGTGAATGTTAAAATAACAATGGTGTTTCCTAAAGATCTGGGAAAATCCCCCTGTGATAAGACCCTCTTCCCAGAGCGCTACTGTGGCAGTCTCTCCCAGCTCTTGCACAATGGAAGGAGGATGGAGGAAGGCACAGGGCATAAGCTGGATCTGCACATCACCACCACGTCAGTCCTTTCCAGGGCTGTGGGGCCCGGCTGTGCAGGAGGGCAGGGAGGGTGGTCCCATCTCTCCTCAGCAGCTTGGCTGTACTCAAGTGGTCCTGGGGGACAGGCAAAAAAGATGGATCCGGTCTTCTCTGCCACCCCCATGCCTCTTCTTGGCCTGGTGAAACCAACAGTCCCTCCTCTCTGGAAATAAGCTTGGAGGAACCTTGTCCCGAGGTGCAAAGTACTTGAGGGAAAGGGATAAGGGGGGCTACTTTACCAACACAAATGAGGTTAATTTCTCATAGTCAAGGAGCCTGGCTCAGTGGCACCACCCAGAGAACAGGCAGGTAAATTCTGATTCTACAGTTCTCCTTAGGGTTAAGGCAGTGGATCTGACTTCTTATCACTGCATGGCCAGTACTGCATTGTGGTCCCAAAGATATTTTCTCAGTTCTTCTCTTTCTTCTCTTCTCTCAAGTCTGCCTCGTCCTAAAACCCTGCCCTGAGAGGCACAAAACAGCAAGGCCCCAAGCAAAGGGGTTAAAGAGCATAGGGTCCCAGTCAGCCTGGGTGGGACTCCCAGCATCTCCATTTACAAGTTACATGATCTTAGCTTAGTTTTTCCATTAATAAAACAGGAATAGTAAGTAGTAACCTCCCAAATTACTGTAAGGGTGAAATGAGTTGGTGTATAAAGCTCTTAGAGCATTTTCTAGCATCTAATGAGTGCTGCGGATTAAATGAGGATTGTTTTTATTCTGCACTGCGCCCCAGTCTTTTCCCAAAGAGAAGTCTTCATATCTGTTTGGGTCCTTCCTAGATAGCCAAGCTCAGCCTCCTGCCTTGACAATAGCCAAGTGGCTATTGTCTCAATTCAATTCAATGACTTTAGACATGTCTCCTCCCACTTCTCCCCTTCCTCCTTTCTACTGCAGCCTAGGGCTTACATGGAGCTGTGACCATCTCAAAACAAAACAAACAAATAAGAAAGCCACACACACAGACATTAAACCTCGATCAACTTGTTTCCACCTCTGTCCTTCCATTGCACCAGTAGAATGCTTAAAAATATTATATTGTTACTGGTTTCCCTTGTTATGCATATTTTCCCCCATTAAACTTCAAAGCCCCTTGAGACCAGGGGTCTATCTAGCCTTTTAAAAAGATTTTCAGTTCCTTGCACAAGGCCTGCAAGGTGTTTAATAGGTGTTTAATAAGTATTTTAATATGTATTTTAATATGTATTTTATTATTTAAGTATTAGGTGTTTAATAAGTATTTGTGGAAAGAATAGACTCATTTATTATGTCATTTCATAGTTGAGGAAGTGAGACCCACAGAAGTGAGGTGAGTTGCCCAAGCTCACAAAGCTTGTCCTTAGCAAAGCTAGAACTGGAGACCCCTTTGTTTTGAAGGGATTGCCTGGGGGCCCCATGTGGATGCAGCCCTTAGAGCTATTAGACACAGTCTTTATTGCTTGCTGCATTGCAATTATCAGATTACTTGATATATTCCAGGCAAACCCTCCTCCCCTCTGAGGTCCACCTCAGCTAGCGTCTGGCATATACAATGCTCCAAATACGTTGTTTGAATAAATGGATAAGTTAGTCTACAGGGAGGTCATCCCATTGCCTTCTCTGACACTCCCTCTAGGACACTAGGTATGGGGGAGTGGTGGACCTGCCAAAAAACAGGCGCAAATACCCTGATCTCCTGCTAGAAGAAAACAAAAACTTAAAACCCCATCTTATATACAAATGATTATAACTCTTTAAGACAAACTTTTCCACAAAGAGCTCCTGGAAAAGGGAAGAAGTTTCCAAAATATGGTAGAAAACAGGCCAGGAGAAGAAGTAGAAGCTTCTCTGCTCATTTAAAAAGCAACATTAAGAGCACCTGGGTGGCTCAGTTAGTTAAGCATCTGCCTTCCACTCAAGTCCTGATCTCAGGGTCCTGGGATCAAGTCCAGCAGGCTCTGTGCTCAGCGGGGAGTCTGCTTCCCCCTCTGTCCTTCCCCCTGCTCATGCGTGAACGTGCTCTCTCTTTCCCTCTCTCATAAGTAAAAATCTTAAAAAGAACATCCTGTAATCAAAGCTGCAAACACTGTCCCACTCTGCAGCAGCATTTCAAACACCAGCCGACTGGGAAACTGAAACTCCAACATTACCTTACAGAAATCTGCCCCTTTGTCTGCTCTTACCAACTGCTTCCGGTGCTGATTATTGTTCTCTGGATCAGATGATGCCCAGGCCTCCAAACAACCTCAGAAGAGCTGCACAGGGGACTGTGCTCAGAACTCTGGACAATGCTCTTCTGTGCCAGGTGATGTTTTAGGCAATAACACTGAGACTTTCTTCCTTTTTCCTCTTTCCTCAAGTAGTTATGGAAAATGTATATCTGACTGGCTTTCCCCCCATGTTGTCTTTTAAGTATTCCCTGCATATATAGTTTTTTGTCTATTGAAAATTAAAATTTATTTTTTTCCCTAAAGGCTTCAGAGTACAACTGAAAGGGAATATGGGGGCACATGGGTGGCTCAGTTGGTTAAGCATCTGCCTTCAGCTCAGGTCATGATCCTGGAGTCTTGGGCTCCCTGCTCAGTGGGAAGTCTGCTTCTCCCTCTATCCTTCCCCCTGCTCTGCTGTGTGTCACTCTCAAGTAAATAAAGACTTTTTTAAATTTTTATTTTATTTTTTGTAAATAAAGCCTCTAAAACATTTAAAAAGGGAATATGGACTACTTGATGAGATCTTTCAAGATTCTGACATGGATGCAGTTCAAATATCACGTCCTCAGAACTCCAAAGTACACTCCCCGTTTTGCCCCCATACATGTATACCTACCAACATTCCCTGATAACATCTTCATAGCACTTTTCACATCTGAAATGATTGTTTTGTTGTCTATTGTTTACTGTCTCTTTGAAAGGTAAACTCTACCAGGGCTGAGACACTGTCCCTACCTACAGCTGTATCTCCTACAGGGCCAGGCATAGAGTCGAATGAATGAATGAATGAATGAATGAATGAATGAGTCACTTAGTTTTTTATTTTTTTTTTAAAGATGTTATTTATTCATGAGAGACACACACACACAGAGAGGCAGAGAGACAGGCAGAGGGAGAAGCAGGCTCCCTGTGGGGAGCCTGATGTGGGACTCAATCCTGGTACTCTGGGATCATGCCCTGAGCCTAAGGCAGACGCTCAACCACTGAGTCACCCAAGGCATCCTGTGAATTTACTTTAATAAAAAGGGGGACACCTGGGTGGCTCAGCAGTTGAGCACCTGACCCTGGATCAGGCCATGATCCCACAGTCTCAGGATTGAGTCCTGCGTCAGGCTCCTTGCCCGGAGCCTGCTTTTCCCTCTGCCTATGTCTCTGCCTTTCTCTCTCTGTGTCTTTAATGAATAAATAAAATATTTTTTTAAAAAAAAGGTGGGAGGGAGAAAGGAAGAAAGGTAACAATTGTTGGCAATTAAATTTTTTTTCTATCAAAAATAATATTCAAATGTGAGATTTCTGGCTCTCTGATGAAGGGCAAAAAGAAAACACTGCAAATCTATTTAAATGGATCCCTTTAAAGCTATGTTAATGGAAGCAATCCAAATGTACATCAATGCATAAATGGATAAACAAAATGTGGTACTTATATATAAATTATATATATAAAATATATATAAATTATATATATAAAATATTTATATGTGGTATTTATAATTTTATAAATATAATTTTTATAAATATTTTATATTTGTATTTATAATTTATATATCTTATATATAATATATACATAATGGATATATATATCCATATAATGGAATTATATATATATATATATACACACACACACACACACACAATGGAATTATTCCATCTAAAAAATGAAATTCTGACACATGCTGCAATATGGATGAACTGTGAATACACTACATGAAATAAGCTAGGCACACTTACAAAAAGACAAATATGAGCATATGTTTCCACTTATATGGAACTGACTACTAGAGTAGACAAATTCATAGAGATAGGAGGTCTACCAGGGGCTGGGGGAAGGGGAAAATGAGAGTCTTTAATAAATGAGTTTCTGTCTGGGAAGATGAAAGTTCTGGAAATGAATAGTGGTGATGGTTGCACAAGACTAAATGTACTTAATAACATGGAATTGTACACTTAAATGGTATATGTTACATATATTTTACCACAATAAAAATTTTTAAAAACTATGGTGGACAACCCAAAAATAAACTAGGTAGACTTGATGAAAAATAGGTTGAACCTGAATAGGGCTACACTGTGCCATATTATAATAAAATGTCAAAAGACAAAGACAAAGAATTGTCATAGCAGCAATAAAAAGAAGTTACATACAATGGAATCCCCATAAGACTACCAGCAGATTTCTCAACAGAAATATTTCAGGCCAGGGATGATATATTTACAATACTAAAAGAAAAAAATTGTCAGCCAAGAATTCTATATCCAGCAAAATTGTCCTCCAGAAATGGAGAGCTATACTTTCCTAAACAAAAGCTGAGGGAATTCATCACCACTAAATCTGCCTTCCAAGAAATGTTAAAGGGATTTCTTTAGTGAAATTAAAAGGAGCTGACTAACATGATAAAAAATAAGAAAGTAACACAAAACTATCTGGTAATGGTAAATGTATAGTCAAAATTAGATTCTGTAAAACTAATTGTGATGCATAATTCACTTACAGCTCTAAAAGATAAAAAAAATAGTAAAAATAACCATAATTATGATGTTATTGGTTAAACAATATAAAAATATGTAAATCTTAACATCAATAACCTAAAATGCAAGAAAGAAGTAAAAGTGTAGCCTAGGAATGTTATGGAAGTTAAATTGTTATCAGTTTAAAATAAGGTGTTATAATTCTTTTTAAAAAATATTTTAGGGACACCTGGGTGGCTCAGTGGTTGAGTGTCTGCCTTTGACTCAGGATCCTTGAGTCCTGGGATCAAGCCCCACATCCGGCTCCCTGCATGGAGCCTGCTTCTCCTTCTGCCTATGTCTCTGCCTCTCTCTTTCTGTCTCTCTCATGAATAAATAAATAAAATATTAAAAATAAAAAAATAAATATTTTAGGGCAGCCCAGGTGGCTCAGTGGTTTGGCGCCAACTCAGTCCAGGGCATGATCCTGGAGACCTGGGATTGAGTCCCACGTCAGGCTCCTGCATGGAGCCTGCTTCTCCCTCTGCCTGTATCTCTGCCTCTTTCTCTCTCTGTCTCTCATGAATAAATAAAATCTTATATATATATTGATTGATTGATTGAGAAAGAGAGAGAGAGTGCACAAGCAAGAGTGAGAGACATCACAGAGGGAGAGGGAGAAGCAGACTCCTTGCTGAGCAGAAAGCCCATTGTGGGGCTCAATCCCAGGACCCCAAGATCATGACCTCACCTGAGGGCAGATGCTTAACTGACTGAGCCACTCCGATGCCCCAAGGTGTTATAATTCTAAGGTATGTTATGTAAGCCTCGTGGTAGCCACAACAGGAAAACCTGTAGTTATCACAAAAAATACTATGATAAAGAATTCAAAGCATACTGATACCAAAAGACTCCAAATTACAAAACAAGACAGTAGGATAAGAAACAAGGAATAATGGATCTATAAAATAGCCAGAAAATAGTTAATGAAATAGCAATTAATGAAATAGGCAATTACCTATCAATAATTGCCTTAAACATACGTGGATTAAATTCTTCAGCCACAAGACATAAAATAGCTGAATGGATTAAAAAGAAAGAGAAGAAAGAGAGAAAGGGGAGAGAGAGAGAGAGAGAGAGAGAGAGAGAGAGAGAGAGAAAGAAAGAAAGAAAACTACAAGACCCAATGATATGCTGCCTACCAGAGACTCACTTTAGCCTCAAAGACACAGACTATGAGTGAAAAGATGGAAAAAGATATTTCAAGCAAACAGTAAGCAAACAAAAACAACAAAACAGGGATAGTTGTGCTTACACCAAACAAAACAGACTTACTAAAAATGACAAGAGACACAGAGGATCATTACATAATGATAAAGGAGTCAATCCACCAAAAAGATATAAAATGGCAAATATTTATGCATCAAACATTGGAGCACCTAAACATACAAGGCAAAACAGAGGATAAAGGAGAAATAAACAGAAATACAGTAATTGTTGGAGACTTTTAATACCTCACTTTCAATAATATAGATCCAGAGAATCAATAAAAAAAAATTGGATTTGAACAACACTATAGACCAAATGAACCTAACATATATACAGAACATTATTATCCTACAACAGGAGAGTACACATTCCTGTCAATCACCAATGGAACATTTTCTAGGACAGACCATATATTAGGCCACAAAACAAGTCTAAGCAAGTTCAAGAAGATTAAAATCATATTAAGTATCTTCTCTGAACATAATGGTATGAAATTGGAAATCAGTAATAGGAAGAAAACTGGAAAATTCATGGATAAATGAAAATTAAATACCACTCTTCTGAACAACAAATGGATCAAAGAGGAAATTAAAGGGAATAAAAAGTATCCTGCAACAAACGAAAATGGAAACACAACATACCAAAATTTATGGAATACAACTGCAAAAGCTGTTCTCAAAAGAAAATTCACGGCAGTGCGGGTGGCTCAGCAGTTTAGTGTTGCCTTCAGCCCAGGGTGTGATCCTAGAGACCTGGGATTGAGTCCCATGTCGGGCTTCCTGCATGGAGCCTGCTTCTCCCTCTACCTGCTTCTCCCTCTGCCTGTGTCTCTGCCTCTCTCTCTCTCTGTGTCTCAGGAATAAATAAAAACTTAAAAAGAAAAAGAAAATTCATAGCAACAAGCACCTACGTTAAGAAACAGGAATGATCTTAAATAAACAATTTAACATTTTAAGAAACTAGAAGAAGAACATAGTAAACACAATGTTAGCAGAAAGAAGGACATAAAGATTAGAGCAGATAAATGAAATAGAGAATAGGAAAACAATGGAAAAGATTAATAAAAGAACTAGTTCTTTGAAAAGATAAACCTTTAAAAGTTTTGTTGAAAAAGTTTGTTTGAGGGGATCCCTGGGTGGCGCAGCGGTTTGGCGCCTGCCTCTGGCCCAGGGCACGATCCTGGAGACCCGGGATCGAATCCCACATCGGGCTTCCGGTGCATGGAGCCTGCTTCTCCCTCTGCCTGTGTCTCTGCCTCTCTCTCTCTCTGTGACTATCATAAATAAATAAAAAATCAAAAAAAAATTTAAAAAAAAAAAAAAAAAAAGAAAAAGTTTGTTTGAAAAAGATAAACATTTAAAGAATTAATGCCAAACCTTCTCAAACTTAAGAGAGAGGAGAGAACATTTCCAAACTTATTTTAAGAAGCCAGCATTACCTGATATCAAAGCCAGAAAAGGACACTATAGGCCAATACCCCTATGAATATAGGTGCAAAAATTCTCAATAAAATACCAGCAAAACAAATTCAGCAGTACATTATAGAGATCATTCACCATGATCAAGTGGGATTTATTCCAGGGATGGAAGGTAGTCTAATACACAAATCAATGTGATATACCTTATTAATAAAATGAAGGACAAAAATCATATGATCCTTTCAATAGATGGATAAAAACATTTGACAAAATTCAACATCTGCTCATGATAAAAATTCTTAACAACAAATTAGGTATAAGAGGAAGGTATCTCAACATAATAAAGGCCCTATATGACAACTCCACAGCTAACACTATGCCTAATGATGGAGTGAAAGCTTTTTTCCCCCGAGCTCAGGAACAAAACAATGGTGCTTATTCAACATAGTAGTGGAAGCCCAAGCCAGAGTGATCAGGCAAGACAAAATAAATAAATAAATAAATAAAAAGCAGAAAACTGAAGAAAAAAAAAAAAGGTAAAATTGTATCTATTTGTAGATACATCTATTTGTAGATGACATGATTTTATATATATAAAATCCTAAAGACACCATAAAAAAAAACCTGTTAGATCTATTCAATGAATTCAGTAAAATTCTAGGATACAAAATTAACATATAAAACCAGTAGCTTGTCTATACACTAACAATGAATTATCTGAAAAGAAATAAAGAAAGCTAACCCATTTACAGTATCAAAAACAATTACATATTTAAGAATAAATTTAACCAAGGAGGTGAAAGATCTCTACACTGAGCACTACAAAACATTGATGAAAGATAAAAATAAACAGAAAGGTATCCTGTGTTCATGGGTTGGGGTAATTGAATATTGTTTACATTTCCATATTACTCAAAGCCATCTATAGATTCAATGCTATTCCTGTTAAGATTCCAATGGCAAATTTTACAGAAGTAGAAAAAAAAAACCTAAAATTTATATGGAAGGACAAAAGACTCTGAATAGCCAAAGGAATCCTAAGAAAGAAGTACAAAGCAGGACACCACACTTCCTGATTTCAAACTATATTATAAAGCTATAGTAATTAAAACAGTATGGTGCTGGCATTAGAACAGATACAAACCAACAGAACAGAAATGAGAACCCAGAAATACATCCATGCATGTATAGTCATATTGAGAAGGGAGCCAAGAATACTCAATGGAGAAAAGGCACTCTCCTCAATAAATGGTGCTGAGAAAATCAATATTCATGTGTAAAAGAATGAAAGCAGACCCCTACCTTTTTCCACTCACAAAAGTTAACTAAAAAAGACCTGAATGTAACACCAGAAACCATAAAACAAAAAATCATAGGTGGTAAGTTCCTTGACATTGGTCTTGGCAATGATTTTCTGGATTATGACACCAAAAGCATAAGGAACAGAAGCAAAAATAAACAAGTGGGACTATATCAAACTAAAAAGCTTCTGCAGAGCAAAAGAAACAATCAACAAAATGAAGACAACCTAAAGAATGGGGGAAAATATTGGTAAATCATGTATCCAGTAAAGAGTTAATAGCCAAAATATATAAAGAGCTCACACAACTCAGCAGTAAATTATATATGTATATATATGTGTGTGTATATATATAAAGTTTAAAAATGGGCAAAACTTCTGAATAGACATTTTCCCAAATAAGTTATACAAACAGCCAACAGGTACATGAAAAGGTGCTTACCATAATTATTAGGGAAATGCAGATCAAAACAACGAGGCATCACCTCATGTCTGTTAGACTGGCTCTCATCAAAAAGACAAGAGATGACAGATGCTGGTGTGGATGCAGAGAAAGAAGAACCTTTATCATTCTCCCTCAACCTCAGGCCGACTTCACTATTAACAGAGGCAATTTAAAGAACTACCTTCCCGAGGAAGGACTGTGTCATGGCCTTGGCTGGGCAGTCCTGCTCTGTAAACCTGAGACTTCTGCTTAGTCTCTGCCATCCCAAAGTAAAAAGGGAGCATCGTTTGCCTGATGACAAATTCCCTCAGTGTTCACAACATTGGGTAATATAGTTCAGTCAAAAGGACCGAACACTACCTATCAAATCTATTTATTTAAAACGTTAACTCCTAAGACACCAAAAATGTAGCAAAATGTGTAGAAAGTGAGCTTCACAGTATCTCTTACACATACTTAATAAAACCACTTTAAGGCACATTATACAGAGCAATCCACAGGACTGTGCTGTTTACCACTTCTGTTCTTCACCTGTTGGGTAACCTTGAGCACAAGCCCTGGGCAGGCCTCACCTCCATATTCTCCAACACTGTCATCCATCTTTAAAAATTTTTTTTTTATTTTTTTATTTATGATAGTCACACACACAGAGAGAGAGAGAGAGAGAGGCAGAGACATAGGCAGAGGGAGAAGCAGGCTCCATGCCTGGAGCCCGATGTGGGATTCGATCCCGGATCTCCAGGATCACGCCCTGGGCCAAAGGCAGGCGCTAAACCACTGCGCCACCCAGGGATCCCTGTCGTCCATCTTTAAATTCTGAATTACCACCCTCTCCATATTTAAAAAGAAGAAGAAGAAGAAGAAGAAAGAAGAAGAAGAAGAAAGAAGAAGAAGAAGAAGAAGAAAAGAAGAAGAAGAAGAAGAAGAAGAAGAAGAAGAAGAAGAAGAAGAAGAAGAATCAATTTTCCTTCACAGAAGAAATTATTTTATTTCATTTTAAAAAGTAAAGGATACAGATACTTATTCTTAGCTTGACAGAAGCCATTTTCCCATGAGACTCCGAGCTCTGCCTGGCGAAGTTAATGGTGATGTGTTAGAGAAACCTGTGGCCTCCAGGGGCACAGGGAGTACAAACATTTGGCTGGAAAAGCATTCACATGATCAAAACATTTCCTGCAGCAAAGATTCACAAGGTCATTTTATCCTGAAGATCATTTTGGTTTTGAAGAAAAGATTTACTTTTGAAGATTCTTTAAATTTACTAATCAAACCAAGAGCAAATTGTTTTTCACATAGCTGAGAAGAGAAAAACCAGAAGCCCATTTTAAGTACTCTTCTGCCCTACTCGCCTCCTCTTACATGACATCTTCTCAATTTATCTCTAGGCCTGATGAATGACATAAATCACACTCAAAGCTCAGCATTTGTGCAGTGTGTTTTCCTCCCTGGTGGCAGGCTTCTCTGAGCCTCAGCCATCAGCCATGTAAGCCCATTTCCACGCTTCCATGGGACCAAGATGGGCTCTGTCCAAACAGGCTTTTGCCCTGCATGGCTTCAGAGGCTGACCCACACCCCCCGTGAGCCTCCAGCATGACTGCAGCAGTGTAGGAGATGGGAAAACCTCAGGCTGATGGAGCCTGACCTCTCTATTTATGGCCTTCACAGCAAGGGTCACCTCCATTAAGTGGTTTGGTCTTTTAACACCATGAGCTACACTATCTAAAGTGTATTTACCCAAGGAAAAACACCGAGCCCCCTTCTGGGGCAATGGCTCTAGACTTCCTAAGATTAGTCAGGGAAGCAGGAGGAAGCACACTCATTCTCCCTGTACCTCCCTTACAGGTACACTCGAGACTGCTGCTCTCAGCAATGCTGGACTGATGACTGTTCATCCAGAAGCGTCACATGTTGGGATCTTGGTGATAGGCACACTCATCTTTCTCTTTGTACCTACTTAGCTCCAGAAACTGACCAATAGGAATTCTTTCCAAAAATGCTAACAGGTAATCTGGTTAGCCACTGGGGTGGGGATGCACCTCTGGTGAAACTGAGCAACAGCCTCCAAATGTTCTGACCAGGAAGTACTGGCCACGATATGCAGCAGCTTAAAAGTAGACCTGTGGATCGCTAAGTAGTTCTAGAAGTACAAGGAACAGAACTGCCATTTACACAACATTAGAGTAATTCGGATTTAGGGCTTTTTAAATTTTGGAAGCGACACTGCCTCAAAAAGGCTAACTGGTGGGACAACTATGAAACAGAGCTTGTTATAATTTGTATACTCCAAAACAGGGTGATGTTCACCACTATTGGACAGCACCTTTGCCAGGGAGACAAAGAACATCATTTGTCACAGCCAGTCATCTCTTCCCAGCAGGCAGGGGACCTGCCAAGTGACTAAAGTGAACCCCAGAGGCTCCCACACTGAAGGTCCAATGCTGCTCCTCAACTTCTAAATAAATCAAATGTGGGGACCCACGCAGTGCCAGTCCACTATGTACCTTCAAGAAATGCCATGTGTCACGTGTAAATCTCTCTCTTGCTGTACCTTCTGGATGTAGAAGGCCGAGGGTGCTGGTGCTTTGGTCCCCACAGCCTTGGATTAGGAGAGCCTATTCCCCAGGTGAGTGTTATGGGGAACACAATAGTGGCTTCTGAGATGTGTCCATAGGTCACAGAAAAGGAAATGCAACACCTTAGGAGATGGCCGAAGTCAGGTGATACACATCAGGAAGTCAAATGCTGACGCTGGCCTGATTCTTTAGAAATGACAAGAGCTAGTTCCCTGCCCGGGTGGTTGGACTGAAATGGCCATCTGAAGAGGGGATGGTTGGCACCGGAACTGCTAATTTGGGGGCTTGCCCTGGAATTGCACTCATAGCCATCGAGCCATTGGGGACAGTAGTTGTGTTCAAGCTACTGGGGATCTCTCCAGTAGACTGCATTTTAAAATAGACCAAATAAAACACTGGTAAAACAATCCCAATTAGAAGCATGATAAAAACAGCATTCCACCACTGAATTCCACAGTCTGCACCATTTGTCAAGGTCTTCGGAGGAGCTGGAAGCAGCGGCTGACTGGAGGTCTCTACACAGTAACTTTCATTTAAAAAGATTTCTGACTGCACTGCACGCTCAATATTCTGGTCAATGCCCTTAAAGAAATCTGTCAGTGGGCTGGACAGGGCACCGGCGCCTACAGCCGCTCTGTCTGGATCTGGCTGCTCCTCGAAGGTCACTCTTGTCTCTGAGGATGGGCTCAGGAGGGGTCTGAGTTCTTTGTGGGTCTCTGTTAGGATCCCATGATTTTTCACCGGAATCTTAATAGATTTCAAAGCATATAAGTCTTGTTCTCTGATGAAGTTGTTGACTTTCTTGATATCTGCGACCTAGGGAAGCCATGAAGACAAACATCACAAAATATGTAAACTCCTTAGAATATAAAAAAAAAAAAGCTCTTTCTGGAAGACAATCCAAGCCCACCCTGCTTAGGAATCTGATGAATACTGGAATACTGCACCTATACACAAAATCAGTTTAGGCTGAATAACTGATTTTTGGCTTTAACTCAGCCTAAATGCATAGCTTAATCATCACATTTCCATACATATTAACAAGTATAATAACGTAAATCAGTTTTGGAAAAGAGTGTTTGTTTAAAGTATGACTGCAACAAAATGTTTTTAGGTGAAACCCAACCAGGGCACTGAAAAAGCAATAGTCCTTTGTATTTAACTTTTGAGGCAACAGTGCCCCCATCTGGCTGACTTCCCTCCCCACAACAAGACCCAATTTAGTAGCTGATTACATTGGCAATCTCCAAACAGGAAGCCTCAGCCAGCTCCACAGACACTCAGAACCTACTTTAACAGTAATAATGTTTTAAGAGGTATGTTCTCATGATTCTACCATGTTTTTTTTTATTTATTTATTTATTTATTTATTTATTTATTTATTTATTTATTTATTTATTTATTTATTTATTTATTTATTTATTTATTTATTTATGATAGTCACACACACAGAGAGAGAGAGAGGCAGAGACATAGGCAGAGGGAGAAGCAGGCTCCATGCACCGGGAGCCTGACGTGGTCGGATTCGTCCGGTCTCCAGGATCGCGCCCTGGGCCAAAGGCAGGCGCCAAACCGCTGCGCCACCCAGGGATCCCTCTACCATGTTTTCTTGCCCAGAAGTACTGTATGGCATATAAACTTATTGTTTAAATAAATGCAATCTAGAGTTAATACACTGAGGATTTCACAATACTTAGGAGAATTAGAAACCTGCAGAGAATCACAAATGGAGTTGGAAAATATGGACTGAAATCCTCTGTTCCAATATTAGGACTGGAAGAGAAAGGAACACCACTAAGAGTTTTATAAGGTAACAAAGTTCACTGACAAATTCCTTCCACAGTCTTGAGGGAAGGGTGGTGCAGAATGTAAGTCAAAGATAAACCCTCCCTCAAGCTAACGTTTGGAACTTACTGAAAGCATCAGAAATGGGTTTTAACTCATGAGCCCACTTTAAGTAGAGTGTAAATAAAATCAAAAGACCTTTAGGTAGCACCTGATTCAAATCAATCATCTCCATTACTTCACTTATTGTTTTTATCATCTAACTGAATTGGGCTGGTGGACATTGTTAATTTATCATGTCCTGAAACTAAAGCATAAGGTCTTGAGACCTGTTTTTTTCCCTTAACAAAATGACACCCAAATTTACTTTAAATTGGAAAATGGTTACTTAGCAGAGGCATCATATATATATATATATATATATATATATAATCTTTATATATATATATAATCTTTATATATATAATCTTTATATATATTATATATATATATATATATATATATATATATATATATATATATAAAATCTTCAGATTTATTAAATGTCACTATTCCAAGAAGCCCACTGCATCCACTCAGTGTAGGGTCAGATTCATTTTCAGCCCATGTTCCATAAACCATATAGTATGCCTACAGAAGCTTATTAAGAGAGTCAAATATAAATCTCAGTACAATTGAGACACTATGTGTCCCTAGAGACCAGCCTGTTTATTTCCTCTGGGAAATACCACAACATCCTATAAAATGTGTTTAACCATTTGAGCCTTGTTAGATAAATGACAAGAAACTAAGGAGGAAAAGATTTTTAAAATAAATTGGTTAGACAGCCTTAGGGGAGGCCATGGAAAGTTGTAACAGCATAATTAGCAAAATGAAATAAATAGTTTCAATCTAGGAGAAAATGCAGCAATTCTGAAAATACTTTTCCTACTTACTTTGCCATGTTAATCACTCTGAATGCTAAAAACATAATTAAAGAGAGAGACAGGGTTATATAGATACAGTGTACAAAGGCTAGATCATGCAGTTCTAAGTGAGAGACTGTAAAATTTCACCAAATAAGGTACAACCAGCAAGAAAGGTTCAGAAAATGAGAAGTAGTGAGAAAAGCAAGCCTAGCAAACAAATCTTGGATAAGTTCTGCCTGGCATCTTTGACCCTAGTAGGTCTTAAATAAAATGTGCTCAAAAGAAAAAAAAAAAAAAGTTTGTCTTTGCGGGGGACACCTGGGTGGTTCAGTCAGTTGAGCATCTGACTCTTGATCTCCGCCCAGGTCTTGATCTCAGGGTCGCCAAGTTCAAGCCCTGCACTGGGTGTGGAGCCTACTTAAAAAAAAAAAAAAAAAAAAAAAAAAATTTCAGAATTCGGTTTGGCGGGACAGGGAGAGAAGTACTTTGTAGACTGGGAACTGCTCCAACACATGAGACTCCTAACCCTCACTTTTCATGATCCCAAGGTTCAGAACTGAGAGTGCTTCCGCCTGCCTTCCAGCTCTGGCTAGATGGGAAGAGTCTTCTACTGCTACAACAGGCCTCTCCAAACCACCTTGCTGGGGGTGGGGAGAGGCGGTCGGGAAGGGGCAGCAAGGGCCCCCATGCTTCAGTGAGTTCCTGCATTCCTGAAATACACAGGAACCATGGGGCAGGGGACACCTTCACCTGCGAGGTTTCTTACTTTGCAGCCATACTGAAGAGCAAGCTTGTTGAGGCTGTCCTCCTGGACCAGCTCCCGCTGCAGCAGCACCACGTCCCCCGCTCCTGGCTGGCGAGGGTGGTGGGCACCCTTCTTCTGGTGGCGCTCCTTGCCCCGGGGCCGCAGAGCCACATGGTGGGACTCTTCCTCAGAGGAGTCCCCCGAGTCCCCACCACTGTTCTCAAACATGTAAACGTGGCTGGTTGGAGTCCTACAGACAATGGCGGGGCCTTGGAGGGTCTTGGTTAATACTTCCTTCTGCCTCATTTTCTTAACTGAAAACCAAACCCCAGGGTTAATTCCACATAAGGTACGTTCATTCCTCTGCAGCCACACTCAAGAGAAGTGTCCGGTTAGGGAGGACTCCTTTCCCTGACCCATTATAAACATTCAACAGACACCATCAGTACAGAAAGAGCGGTCTCCGCTAGTTGGGATGGAGGGTGAGAAGCATGTAAAAATAGCATTCTTCCCTGACTGCAGACCTCTTACAGAGAAAAATCAAAGAATCCCTCCTTTCCCCCTTATCCCTCATCCATAGCTGGTCCCTCCCCGAAACCCACCAGATAAACAACTTCTCTTTTTGGTCTCAGAGGGGTAAAGAAGCTGCTGGGATCCTTTGCAATGAGAGGGAAGGGCTGTTCCCAGCTTCCTCGCAACTCGGAACTCTGGTGCCCAACCATTCTTGTTCGATACTTCACACATTGCGGAGTACCCTCACCAAGAAGGTCAAGACCGAGGGCGCTTGCTTGTGAGATCCAGGAGAATAAAATACTCGGATTTCCAATACAGGCAAGCTTGAATTACCGCAGTGTTTGGGCCCAGCTGGGCAGAAAATTCTCGTCCGACTGAGACATTCGTCCAGTTTTCCACAGGCCCCTTTGCCTTCATTACATCCCACGTCTGGTTTCTATGTTCACCTCCAGCCGAGTGCAGAAGCCTCACGACCCGCTTTCCCCCCTTGGAACCGTCCGAATGAGGTTCCGGAACACGAGACCTCAAGCTCAGGGAATGACAGCCGCACAAGGGCCGTGGTGGAGCCAGTGGCCCCCCGAGCGACCGCGCGACCGCGCCGCCCGCCCCCCTCTCCCCGCTCCCCTCTCGCCCCGCGGGCGCCCCAGGGCCGCGCCTCCGCGTCAGAGCTCAGGGCCCGCAAGGGGCCCCGGCGGCTTTCCCTCAGAGCCCCTCCCGCGCAGGGGGGCGGCCGCTCCCAGACTTAGACGGACGCGACCCCCACATTCCGCCAAGGCACGACCTACGACCTCCGCCCTCCGCCCTCCATCCCAGCAACCTCAGCCAGCCCCGGACCGTGGCGGTCGCCGCCCCTCCGGACGCAGGAGCGCGGCCCGCCCCCGAGGCGGAAGGGCGGCTCGCGCCCCCCGGCCACGACGCCGCGGAGGGCCCCCGCGGGCCCCCTCCCAGGACCGCGGCCCCTCCTGCGGGCCCCGGTACCTCGGCGCCGAGATCCGCCGCGGCTCGCCGCCGCCGCCGCCGCCGCCACCGCGCCTGCTGATTGGCTGCGAAAATCAGCAGGTCTCCAGGGGGCGGGGACGGCGAGGCAGCCAATGAAGTCAGCGCTGTGCGGGGCTCTGGAATGAGCCAAGCTGCGCTGAGAGGTCTGCGCAGGAAACGCGGCCCGCGGGGCGGGGCGGGCGGGGCGGGGCGGGGCCGGGCGGGGCGGGGCCGGGAGGGGGCGGGGCGGGGAGGGGCGGGCTCCAGCTCCCGGATCCGACGGTCGCCCTGCCCTGCCCGCCCGCCCGCCCGCCCGCCCCCGAGGGATCCGCTCGTCCCAGCGGCAGCTTTTGCTTCTGCTATGAAACCGCTTACCTCTCTCCCCCACCTTTCTGTGAACCTCAGCCTTCTCATCTGTAGAAGAGGCCTTTGGCCTTAGCGCTCTGTGTCAATGGTGTAAAACGAGGGGGCGGGTTCCCAGGAGAGTGACTGCCACCTGCTGAGGCCCCCCCGCTGGGAAGCCCCCGCCGCGCTGGGCCTGGCGGGCCAGGGGTCTCCACGACAGGAGCCCTTACCGCCACGGGAGTTTGCTCCTCCTTGCCCACCCTCATGGGAAAGTCCACCAGTGTGAACCACTAAACCACGACAACACCGACCACAAATAACACTATTTTGTTTTATTTTTAAGATTTTATTTATTTATTCATGAGATACACAGAGAGAGGCAGAGACATAGGCAGAGGGAGAAGCAGGCTCCCTGCAGGGACTCCATCCCGGGACCTCGGGATAATGACCTGAGCAAAGGCAGACACTCCTTCACTGAGCCACGCAAGCAGCGCGCAAATAACACAATTTGCCAAATGTCGATGATGGGGGATTCCTTATGCTTAATAGTAAGGGGTGAACATTCTCATACACTAAAGCACAAAGGCTTAAAATTTCAACCCAAAAATGCAAACCCAAATTAAAAAGCAAACTGTAACCAGGGAAAACTAAATGCAACAAACACCACAAAAAATCCTTTATTGAGACAAACCTCATCAAACTGATGAGAAAGTCACTAACAGCCCAGTGGATAAATGGGTGGGGACCATGAACAGACATTTCGCCAAAGCATACAAATGGTTAATAGGGAATGAAAATGAAACCTCAGTAGTAATCAAATTAAACCACAAAACAAAAAGATGAAAACAAATCCAGATTTATTTTTATTTTTTTATGTTTTTACAAATCCAGATTTAGGAGAGATTGTATTCAAAAAGATTATTGCAAGGGGAAAAAAGGCTTGCAATAGGGAGAACCTTCTGACTATGAGGTCTGTAAGCATCTCAAGAGTTAGGTAGAAAGGGCTTTTCTTTTATAGAGAGGAGTAAGCAAGGCTGCAAAGAATCAGGTGTGGAGAAGTAGGACAAAAGGGTGGCAGAACTGGATGGCAGATACAAGAACGTTCGACCCTGGCCAGCCTGTTCTCAAGAGGGACTGTAAGCTGGCTCAGGCTGAGTGTGGGCTAAAGTCCATTCAGAGGCCTGGATAAAGGAGAGAGGCTTCATGGAATTTTAGTTAGCAAGCATTTTGTTGTGACTGATCAGTCGGGACACGAGGCTCAGCTAGAGACAAAGAAAGAGAATCTAGGGGATCTGTGTCTGGCCTAGGCATAGGTAAACAAGGAGTGCATCCGTGAGTCTTAAGTCATACGGGGAAGGAAGGGTGGTTCTTTGTAATAAGCCATTTTCCAGAACACAATGGATGGGTGGGGATGGGGAGGTCTTAACCTTCACTGTTTTCCAGGAGCACAGGGTGTAGGCAAACTCCAACATTGTCGAGTTTCTGTGTGTGGATCTACATCCACATGTCAAGCCCTGGAGCACAGCAGCAAATAAAGCTGGCAAGCTTTCATGGAGTCTACACTTCTAAAAATGACCAAAGACAAAGACATACACAGAAAGAGCATTGCAGATTATGCTAGATCTTGGGAAAAGAAAAACTAGGTATCTGTTAACAAAAATTATCTGAACTTCATAAAGGCAAAAGGATGGTTGTATGTTCTTTCATTGTTGTGCTGGAGCTTGGTTAGTGAGCCCATCCAAGAATAATCTGATTCTCTAAGCAGCAGTTCTCAAAATGTGATCTGGAGTCCTGGAGATCCCCTGAGACATTTTCACTGGGTCTGTGAGGTCAAAACTATCTTCATAGTAATACCAACGTTATTTTCCTTTTCCACTTCATTCTCTCTTGATAGACAATAATTTAGCTAACATATAATGAATCCCTACTGGGTATAAGACAACACAACACTCTTGTGTGGTAGGTATTATTACAATCTCCAAATTGTAGACAGAAAAACTGTAACAGAATTTGCAAGACGCCTACCCAATATCCACTCTAACCTTTCACTTCAGAAAAGAACCCCAGTATTATTTGGGGCAGCAATGTGCCAAGCTGAGACTACACTTCTAGTCTTCCTTGCAACAGGGTGTACCCCTGAATAAATTTCAGACGATACAAGAGAAAATGTTGGATCGGACTTCTGAAACTTTTAAAAAGCAGACACCTGGAAAAGCTCTGTAAAATATGTGTTCTGCTTACCTTCCCCCTGCTAACTGGAATGAACATATGATGGCTAGGGCACCTGCATTCATCTTGGACATGAGGCAGCCTAGAAGGTAGACAGCACCTGCTAAGGATGGCAAAGCAGAAAGATGAAAAGTGGGCAGGAAAGAACTAAATGTCCCCGTTGTTTAAGAGATTAAGATTTCTATCAGTAGCAGCTATTGAAATTCCTAACTTAGAAACCTGAGCACAGAGATTAAGTTACTTGTCTTAGATGTCATAGCTAGTCAGTATAAGAGGCAGAATCCAACCTCAGACAGATGAGAAAAAGTCCATGGTCTTGGGCGCCTGGGTGGCTCAGCGGTTGAGCATCTGCTTTCAGCTCAAGTCGTGATCCTGGGGTTCTGGGATCAAGTCCAGCCTCAGGTTCCCTGCAGGGATCCTGCTTCTCCCTCTGCCTGTCTCTGTCTCTGCCTCTCTCTCTCTCTCTCTCTCTCTCTCTCTCATGAATAAATAAATAAAATATATTTTTTTAAAAAAAGCCCATGGTCTTATAAAAGCTTCTGAGCTGAACTCAGCTTTGCTTTCTCCATCTACTGGCCCAGCCCAGGCAGGATGCCTGCTAAAGCTTGGTGAACAATTCCTTCAGAAACATACCTTAGTTTTCACTCCAGGCCCATGGCTAGACTGTCTGAGATGCAATTCCTCAGGCCCAGGTGAGGTCAGAGAGGAGGTTTTGGAGCATCATGGCTCATCCTCTGAAGTGTTTCAGGGTCGCATCTGCCAAGGACAGTCCCACTTGCTCTGGCACTGAAAAAGCTGCAATCAATCCTCCACAAGCTGACAGGCCTGCTCAGATGCCCCTGAAACTCCTGCCAAGCCCAGAGCATCCTGTCCCCTGTGTCAGCCTACTGTGGACTGAATTGTGTCCCTGCTAAATTAAGTTGACATCCTAACCCCTAATATGACTATATTTGAACAGAGGGCCCATAAGAAAGTAATTAAGGTTAAAAGAGGTCATAAGGGTGGGGCCTTGGTCCCATAGAATTATATTGTGAGAGGAGACAGCAGAGAGAGCTTGCTCTTATTTTCTCTCTCTGCTCACACTCAGGGGAAAGACCATGTGGAGATACAGTGAGAAGGTGACTATCTGCAAGCCAGGAAAAGAGCCCTCACTAGAATCTGTACCCTGATGGATCTTGAACTTGGATTTCCAGATTCTAGAACTGTGACACATAACTTCTGTTGTGTAAGCCATCCAGTCTGTGGTATTTCATTATGGCAGCCCAAGCTAAGACACTAGCCTTCTCCCTGGAAGAGCAGAAGATGGAAAGGAACAGATGCTGAGTGACTGGCTTTCACTAGATGTTTTAAAACTCCAGTGGGAAGACAGCAGAGATCTGTATTGGCAAAGTCATTAGAATTGCTTAAGCCTCAACTTCTCACTTTACAGACAGATTGAATCTAAGACCCAGAGACACAGGTGGCTTGCCTGAGGGTGTACAGTGAGTTAGCTGTAGCCTTAAAGCATGGAAGATGAATGAGTCCAAGGTTAGTTCTGCACTTACCAGCTGTGTGACCTCCATGGAGGCAGCCCATCAGCCTTCGGGGCCTCAGTCTCCTCCTCAAGGATGCTGTTCCCTATGTCTGGGATGGCCATACATCCCTTCTGCCTGGAACATTTTAAGCTTATATATGGTGTCTTTGCACAATTATTATGAACACCCCTTCCCTTTTCATAGTTTGGACACACCCTCTACCTCTCTTTGGAACTGTCTGCAAGGCAAATTCTCCCTGCCCATGCCTTGGCAGACGCTGCTAGTTCATCACAGAGGCCAACACAGTTGTCAGATCTCTGCATGGAGTTATCCAAGACAGCTCTAGTTGTTCATGGATGAGTGGTAGGGGTAAAAAAAAAAAAAAGTCTAAAAAATTATCGCATTTAGCATGGAAAAAAACAACTATTAAAAAATTAACACATAACAAATTGAGTAAAAATATTTGCTATTTGCTATCTTAGACATGTCAATATCCTTAATATATAAAAAGCATTCAGATTTCAATAAGA